CTATTTGTAGCTCTTAGTTGAAAAGGACTGACTGAGCTTCATATAATAAATTCAATAAATACTTTTCAAAATCGATTTCTAATGTGTGAACTATGGAAAATCGCCTATATATGTATATAGCAATATCTACATCGAACGATGTATATTAATTCTATTTATGTCTGGTGTATATACTAATTCTATATATAAAGTGATAATACTACTAAATTGTGTTACTAAACCAGCATTATTTTTCTAGCCGAACGAATATTACAAAAATTTAACCCTTCAATACGCTAAAATACACACATATGCATTACACACAACATACAAATGTTTGTTTGTATGCAATTTAACCCGTACGTACGTATGTGTGCATGGGTCAAATATATGTATGTTCGTTGCTGTGTGCATGTATGTATGTATGTACATGGAAAAATATTGGCACTCCCTTGACCGGTCATTAGCACACATTTGATTTAAAGGAAAGTACTAAGCGCACTTCGTTGGCATCGCAAAATGGGACTTACGGAATCTCCCGAAAGTGCACTTCATTAGCCTCGTTTTCCGCGAATTGTCCTGGGCCAGATAACATTGCCTTAATTGTGCCAGAGGTGAGAGCATGTTCCCGTTTTACAATAAATTCGTGTCCATCTGACGAAATCAGTTTGACGTACATGGCGTCTGGCCCCTCACAACCGCCATAGACTTTATCGCCGCGCTGCTCGTCCATTGCTATCATCTAAAAAATGTACTTACTATACTTTTTTTTCGCAATATAAACTATTTTATTTATTTTCTGTCTTACTTGCCAAAACTCAGTCTGTGACAACACTCAAAATCATACATATACAATTCAGTGTTGTGTAATGGCTAAAATACTTTATTTCAAATTTCATCATACCATCATGCAAACTGGAAGCACGAAAGTTAGTTATTATATTTTGTAATATTGATTTTACTTCTCTATATGAATGTTACTTTTTTTTGCGAAAAATTAATTGTTTACTTCTGTCAGGAGTATAGCAAGCAAGGAGGCATGTATCAATTACGGAATTAAATGTATTTGCGATAGTTTATTCGATACATTTTTATTTAGCAATCGTTTAGGTGTGGCCCATCTCTATAATATGTGAAGCAGCTGTTTGTATGGGTGGGGAAAATGCCGCTAATAGAAACGTTATGCCGTCTTAAACAATTTTGTTTATGTACATAATGAGTTAAAACTATTTTTCAAAGAAACATCTTCACATTATTATTATAGATGTATATTTTTTACTTTATGTTGATTTAGTTATTTTATTTTACGTATCGGACTCATAATGCTCAATGGATTTTCTTTTGAATGCTCTCCACTGCCATGCGCAAACCAATGTTAATTTCAAATTATCGATCTTTCTTGCAATTTCTCCTACTTTCTGTTATTTGTATATTAGATTAGCTACAATTCGTTAATCTGTTTCCATCTATTATAAAATACAGCTCGAGCTACAGAGCATTCAGCAAAATTTTTAATTGCCGTGAGTGCACCTGACTGAACAGATAAACGTATTGCCGATAATCTTTTACTGCTGTATAATAATAAAAATGCAGCCAGCAAAAATATATGTATGTATATACAGATTTTAACAAATGAAACAAGTTTTTCTTTTATATCTTTTTTTTGTAAGAAGAAATCGTTTCGACTTTATTGGTTACGTTAAAAGAACAATCATTGCAAACTTAATTTTTGTTCTCATTTACTTGACGCAACTTTCGAGAATTTAGTTCTCATCCACTTCACCCTCTTGTTCTTCTTCGAATTCAGCATCCTCATCGGCGGTAGCCTCCTGGTATTGCTGATATTCAGAGACCAAATCGTTCATGTTGCTCTCAGCCTCGGTGAACTCCATCTCATCCATACCCTCGCCAGTGTACCAATGCAAGAAAGCCTTGCGACGGAACATAGCGGTGAATTGCTCAGAGATACGCTTGAACAGCTCCTGGATGGCAGTCGAGTTTCCAATGAAAGTAGCAGACATTTTCAGACCACGGGGCGGGATGTCACAGACAGCGGTCTTCACATTGTTGGGGATCCATTCAACAAAGTATGAGCTGTTCTTGTTCTGGATGTTCAGCATCTGCTCGTCAACCTCCTTCATGGACATGCGTCCACGGAAGATGGCAGCGACGGTCAGATAGCGGCCATGACGAGGATCGCAAGCAGCCATCATGTTCTTAGCATCGAACATCTGTTGTGTCAGCTCAGGCACTGTCAGCGCCCTGTATTGCTGGGAGCCTCGAGATGTCAGGGGTGCAAAGCCAGGCATGAAGAAATGCAGACGTGGGAATGGAACCATATTAACTGCCAGTTTGCGGAGATCAGCATTCAGTTGGCCAGGGAAGCGGAGGCAAGTTGTTACGCCAGACATTGTCAACGAGACGAGATGGTTCAAGTCACCATAAGTTGGGGTTGTCAGCTTGAGGGTACGGAAGCAGATGTCATAGAGCGCCTCGTTATCGATGCAGTAGGTCTCATCTGTGTTCTCGACCAACTGGTGCACCGACAGGGTAGCATTGTAGGGCTCAACAACGGTGTCTGACACCTTTGGCGAGGGCACCACTGAGTATGTGTTCATGATTCTATCGGGATATTCCTCACGGATCTTGGAGATCAGCAGGGTACCCATGCCGGAACCGGTGCCACCTCCCAGCGAGTGTGTAAGTTGGAAGCCTTGCAGGCAATCGCACGATTCAGCCTCTTTACGCACAACATCGAGCACTGAATCGACGAGCTCAGCGCCTTCTGTGTAATGACCCTTGGCCCAGTTGTTGCCGGCACCAGATTGACCGAACACAAAGTTGTCGGGTCTGAAGATCTGGCCGAAGGGACCCGATCGCACGGAGTCCATGGTGCCAGGCTCCAAATCGACGAGCACAGCGCGAGGCACATATTTGCCTCCGGACGCCTCATTGTAGTATACATTAATACGCTCTAATTGTAGGTCGCTGTCGCCATGGTAAGCGCCGGTAGCATCAATGCCATGCTCATCGGAAATAATTTCCCAGAACTGAAATGAAAGTAAAAGACGTTAATTTAATTTTATAATTTCAATCATAAATTCACTTTTTATTTTATATTTACTAAGCCCGTCTTTTGTTCAGCAAGTAAATTAATTTCTAATAATTGTTTATAAATACGATTTATTTCAATTAGATACCAGCCCTTTTAAAGTAACTAAATCAATTTCAAATAGTTGTTCTCAAACTCTTTGCTTTTTCATTCTTTTCGAACAGATGTTCGTTGAACTTTGTGTCCATTAAAGGGGCACTAATAATAGAAAGCTGTATTTAGACACAGAGTCAATAAATAAATATTTTATCAGACTTATGGTGGGCTTAAACCGACAACAACGGAAACATCGTCATCGTCATTGTCGCTGCTTGTGTGTGGGTTGATCATAACACCAGCTGTCCACCTTAACAGTCTTTGGCTTTGGCTTTTCCCGTATATGTATGTAGGCTGTGCTGCGCCGTCCCCACGCACAAGCGAGCAATAGTCAGCAGACATGCGCCTACCTCAAATTTAAGCGACAATCTCTCGCTTAATCATATACATATACATACATACGTGTACGTGTATGTGCGCAAGCTTACATCATCGCCGGCGACGGCAACAACACCAGCCCAGCCCACACAAGAGAGCAGAAAAGTCGGTTGACTGGCGTAAGCCGAGGCCAAGCTCCGTATAGTGCATCAATTTAGTTCGTCTGGAACGCCATATGGCGTTAGAAATGTACTTTTTCAGCAGATTACGTCATTTCCAAGCCCAACTTTTTACTTGTTTATTTGTCGTAAACAATAAAAATACCTCACCTCAAAAAAAAAAAGGAAGTGAAATTAAGGGAATAAATAAATACAGTTGCCATGATGACCAAAATTACCCTCAAGCAACTGTATCTTAATAATTGTGTCTGCGCCTACAACAATAACAAACATAACTACTTCTCATGTATATCGAAGGTAAATATCGTAGGAAAATATAAAACAGTTGCAGCTGCTGCAAAAAGGGGGTTGTTTTCTATGTATTCACGAGGACAACAATGGCTGTATTGATTCTCCGAAAGGACGTCGATGACGAAGCCAGTTCGCAATGGGTTTGCCGGCAATAGAGCTTATACGCATGTGCATGAAAACTGGCAACACTGCCTTTGGGTGTGTCATATGTAAGTAGATATATATATATATA